ACCTGGGCCGCCTGCTGACAGGGTCCATCTTCCAGGAACCGGGCGATGAGGAAGTAGAGCTCTGCGCGGGAGAGAGAGGGACGGGGAGACAGGCTGAGCGGCGGGCGCGGGGGGCGGGGGCCGCGGGCGGAATCGCCCGGTGCCAGCGGCCCGGCGACCCCCGACTTACCCGATCGCAGCTCCGAGAGGCCTGTCCTCTCACAAGACATGTTTATGGGTCACTTCGGGGCCGCCGGCGGGACACCCCGCCGCCGAGGGGAAGCGGGGATGGTGCCGCCGCCCGCCCTATAGCTGTCACTGTGTGTTCACGAGCCGAGCCTCGGCTCCACCATTCAAGCAACGGCGGCGGAGGCGGAGGAGGAGGAGGAGGAAACAACAACTCTCAGGCAGCCGCTACGGCCGCCGCCGCCTCCGCCGCGGATCCCTCCGCCGCAGAAAGGAGTCCGCCGCCTTCGCGGCCCAGCCTCGGCCCGCGCCCCCGCCCCCGGCGCAGAGAAAGGAGTGCCCTCGGCCCCGTGCCCCCAGCGCCCCCGCCCCCGGCGCGGCGAGACCCGCGCCCCCGCCCCCGCCCCCGAAGGTGCGGTTTATTTATTTATTTCCAGGCAAAGAAGATGTCGGAGCCGGAGCCGCCGGTTGGCTGGAAGGCGCTTTCTCTGTGGAGGCCGATCGCGGGAGGGAGGGGGCCGCGGCGGCCGCGGAGGGATCTGACGCACACGGAGCCGCAGCACTGGCTCTATTCAGCGGCGCTGGCTGGGGCTGAGATGGAAGTTAGTTTCTATGTAGCAGAAATAGGAAACAAATGAAGCAAAACTGCCCAGAGAGGGGAAATGGCCCGAGGATGGGTCTCACTCTCACGCGCGCACACAGACACACACGCAGAGAGCACTCTCACGCTGGGCAAACTCGGGATCGCGCTGCCCTGCCCGAGTTGAATGATAGTGTTTGGTTTCTGTCTCTTGCCATGTGCATGTGTATAAATGCTGCGGATTGGCATCTGTGTAAGTCTTGTCCTGCGTTATTTCTGCAGCCTATGCAAAGTGTTGTGTAATTTATTGGAGTGCTGTATATCGTGAGAGAGGTTCGGGCGCTTTTTGTTGAGCACTTGCGTTTGCAAGCCCGTTATTTGCCGAAGTCACCTCTGCGTATATCTTTTATTACTGCCATTGCCTTAAGCGTACATTTTAAAAATGTTTCTTATTGTTATATGGCCAAAGCGAACTCCTGATCTGTACTTCAGATACTCTTTCCTAATTACAAAAAGGCTAGTGATGGCTAATTAAGGATTTGGGATTAAAGAACCCTAAAGCTTTTTTTAAGTGTTAACAAGAAGGAATAATGTAAACCTGAGAGAAAGAAAAGAACGCTAATATTGAACTGATCTGGAGGTAATTTAGTGACAGATCAATAACCTACCGAAGGATATTGAAAGAGTATACTACACTTTAGCCAAGGTGATTAGTGATTAAATAATTTAAATTATCTGTGTATCTTGCAGTTGACTTCGTCATGCTAATTAATGGCTTCTAATTTGAGGTGTAAACCATTCCTGTTTACAGTTAATCACGAGAAGACTTCTTGAGAACTGACAAAAAGAGAAAAAATTAATCTTTCGTAAATTAGTATGTAATTACCGGTTATATATGCTAAATCATACATCTCTGTTTTGCTGATGAGGATAAGGGCCTTGTTTTTTAAAAAAGGAATATGAGTGAAATTAATGGAAACAATGGAAAAAGCCATTTGTTGGGAATCAAGGATACCAAGTGATATTTATCTCCAGATCATTTAAGCACTTTTCAAAAAGACTTGGGAGTTGAATTTCTTTTTTAAGGATTGCATTTTAAAGGGAACTGGGGTAGTCGTTCTTTTGTTAACATTTAACAAAAGATTCTCCTTAAAAATTTTGGATAATAAACTGTGTTTTATGGATCTAGTCTAAAAAGCTTGTTTATGGGTAAAGGACCAACACACTGTATTGTGGTTTTCTAGATTGTTTCCTCAAGCCTTCTACCCGCCTAGCTCCTTTCATTCCTGGTGGGAAATACTTGCTGCAGCTGCCTTGGACTGCACTGCAAGACTGCACCGGTGTGATGCCCTGAACTAAAACATCCAGAAATCATCACACATGTGGGAAGAAGAAAAAAAACCTAAACCTCTTTGGAATAATAGGATCTAAAAATTGCCTTTTATTACAGTCTTAATCAAATAAAAAGAGCGGTTACCATGACTTGTCCTATTGCAGCCTAGTTATCAGAATGTTATCTATTGAAATAGCTGTCCTTCAAATACTGAAAATATTTGCATTTTTAAAGACATTAATTCCATTCTGGCTATTATAGGTAAAGTATCTTGCTTCTAGATGGTTAGGTTTGAAAAGGTAGACGTTTAATATGCCCTTTTGCAATTCTATTTATTTCTGTGATGGATGCTTTCTATTTTATCTTAAGTTTTTTAAAAGTATTATGTTCTTCAAATAATTGTGATATTTTACATTATGATGTTCTTCAGATAAACAGATTTTAGGAACTAAAAACTATAGTTAAGATCTTGTGGTTTTGAAATGTTTGTATTAGTCTGATTCTTACTAATAGATGTTTTATCCTTGCAAAGGAAAATAAACCAAATTATGACATGGAATATAAAATTACTCTGGGTAAAGTTTTCCATATATATTTTGTGAGTATTATGTAAACATGGAAAGTGAGTATGATTATCTCATGTATGCTTTTTATTTAGAAGCCACGAAAGCTTTTCCTAAGTACACTACTAGTACTTAGCTCCTAACAATTTTTTAAGGAAAATTTCCTAAGTTTTCTGAATGTGATGTTCCTGTCATTTTGACTAACCTTTGACAATGTTTGTAGTTTCTTTTTCAGACCTAATTTGAAGATAGTTGTAACCCTGCCTTTGAACTAATTTATAACTATCAGTCTGTTAGAAGAAAATATAGATTAACTGCTAAAAATTAAAACTTCTCTTCAGCCAAATAAACTATTTGTTTTTAACAATTGACGTTAAATTGAATTTTACTAAGTCCTCAAATGTAACAAATTCTCCTTATAACATTTTAATTTCTTTAAACATAAAAAACATTTCTGGATTCTGGCATTATCAGTTAACTATAGGGTTTATTATGTCGTTTATTGTACATATGTTCACAGAAAGTCTGCACGTATCAAACAGACAGAAAATCTTACCTTGACTTCCTGTATTTTAGATCCCAGGGCAATGGACTTGCACTTCTTTTCTCAGCTCCCTTCTCTGCATATGAGGATAGTGTAGATTCCATCTATAGCCCTTTCTATTTGTTTATTTTAACTTTTTCATGGACTTCAAAAATCAAATGTCAGTTTAAAAAGACTTCTGTGTCTTTGGCGTAAGAAGGCTAACAAAATTAGTAAAAGTTTGGAAAGCCAACAACTAACATTTTTATATAATATATTCTCTTTAAGAGAATTACAAACTTTCCTTGAAATGTAAAAGTTTCTGTGAAATTCATCATTTCTTTTCACTTGGCATCACATGAAACAAGATAAACATTTAACAAAAAGTTTTTCTTGATTGTGATAGGCTATTATTCTAATGAAATAATAAAATGCTGCCATTCCAGTCCTTTCTGGGACAAGATGGGATAGTATTTATAAATAAAAAAGATTCCACCACGTTAATGAAATTTGCCTTGTCTCCACTAGTATGATGAAATAATACATAGCTCAAAAAAATCTGCAATACAACTTTTAAAATTACATATTAAATCTTGTTTTTATTTTGATGTTATTCTTTTTTTATAGCAAAAGTTTTATCCTATAAAGTGTAGAAATGGAAAAGTAGAAAACACTCTTCTTCAAAAAAATACCTTATTTTTAAATACTCATCTGCCCTGACCACAAAAGACAGCTGTCAAGAGTCTTGTTTAACATGCCACACTCCTCCTGGATTGCTCCCCAATATTGTATGTTTCTGTCCATACCTGTCTGACTTTTTCTCTCTCAACACGCACATTCTTCTTCCTTCACGAAGCTTGAATATATATCCAATTTGAAACATATATACTATTTGAGCAGATATATTGTTTGGCTGCTACAGGAAAAATAGAAATAACCAACTTTAGTAAGCCAACCCACTATTTAACAATTTGTTCTCCCATATATCTCACTGAGAAACCTTTTTACTTAAATTAGAGCACAATTCCTTTTAATTTGTAACAAAGATTAGCTGGTTACCAAGAATCATGTAATCTCTTATTTAAATGTTATTAGTAATTCACCACTCAACTTTTTTTTTCCAAATTAAATAATCCAAGTAGCTTAGATTTTTTTTTATATATATGTCTTAGTTTGTACAAGAAGTACATGTCTTCATGGACTTGTTTGTATTTTTTTTAAGATCAATTAATGAGTTAACGGTAAATTACAAAGATTAGAGGAAAACAATAATTCTAGAACATATTCCCCCAAAATTTGGAGCAACACAGCGGATAAAGTAGAAAAAGCTGTTCCAGATGGGAGGAAACTTAAAGGAGAGGTCTGTCAGCATGTTCTAGCAAGAGTGGGCCGACTGAACAGAGACCAGTGGAAAAGAGAAGGTGGGTTCGGGGGAAGGGATGTAGAGGCTTTGAAAGTTGCTAGTGGTGGTGTATTAAATAAAGCATACTGTTATCAATGTGATTGTAAGATGGAATTTGAGGACAGGAATTATGTAGCCACTTGCCCTTACATGTGCCTGAATTCATAAACTTCAAGAACCCCGAAGAAGAAAAATTATTTTATTCATGGAAAGAAAAGAGGGAGGTTTATCTTACAAGTTAGTGAGGGATCTCTGCATAATAAAAACACTCAGAATTAAGGACACCAAAGTAGACACGGTTTGTGAGGAAGGAAAATGTTTGTTTAAAAGAATAAGTTCTGACCACCCGAGTGCCCACAAGTCAGACTTGAAACTCAAATATGAAAGTAAGACATATATAAAAGTGAAATCCAACTCAAAATTGAAATTGAAGCCAACTTAGATTTAAACTGACTTTGTAATCAAAAATGATGTTTCCATTTTCTGAATTCCTATAGGAAGGCCTGTCTAATTTATACCACCTTATTTGTAAATTGCCTTTGTTTTTCTTCTCATATATATATACACATATATGTATATATAATGTAATATAAATAATGTGTATATATATATATATAAGTAAAAGTGTATACTTGGCAAAGATCTCCTTGACTTATGCCTCTGTTACTTTATTCCCTTTGATGGCTATACTCATACATATTTGTTGAAATAGTGATTAACTAACTAGCCCAAACAAAGAATAAGTTCTATTATACAGTTATAAAATTTAAAATAATTTTGATAGCAAGTAGATCTTTCAACTGAGATGTGTGTATTCAAAATTTAAGAAAGCTT